CTAGAGATCATCTAGTCCAACCCCTCTGGTCCAGCAGGGACACCCAGAGCACGTGGCACAGGGGGTTTTTGAAGACCTCCAGAGAGGGAGCCCCCCCAGCCTCTCTGGGCAGCCTGTTCCAGGGCTCTGTCACCCTCACAGCAAAGAAGTTCTTCCTCATATGGAGGTGGAACTTGTGTTTCAACTTACAGCCATTCCCCCTTGTCCTGTAAGCGGCCACCATGGAGAAGAGCTTGGCCCCATCCTCCCTACAATCCCCCCTCAGGTACTTGAACGTGTTGATCAGATCCCCTCTCGGTCTTCTCCAGACTAAACAGACCCAACTCGCTTAGTTTTTCCTCATATGACGAATGCTCCAGTCCCTCAATCATCTTCGTGACTCTCCACTGGACCCTCTCTAGAAGCTCGATGCCCTTCTTGTACTGGGGAGCCCAGAACTGCACACAATACTCCAGGTGCGGCCTCACCAGAGCTGAGTAGAGGGGCAGGATCCCCTCCGTCGACCTCCTGGCAATGCTCCTGCTGATTCGGCCAGGATCCCGTTGGCCGCCTTGGCCACGAGAGCACAAATGTTTCAGGGTGAGATCAGGCTGCATGGATAGAGCATTAGGAAGGAGAAAAGACCTTCCCGTTTTGAAGCAACAACAGATGCATCATATCAGCTATCTGTGAGCTTAAATCCCCCCGTATGTTACAGATTGTGGTGACCATGGGTCAATTGGGGTGCAGAGCCAGATGCAGCTCTGCCTGGAAGGGGCTGACAGGAGAGAGGAAGAAGGAAGAAGTGGCAAAGGCCAGGGCATCCCTGCTGTGCCTGGTGACATTCATGGGAAGGGAGGGGTTACGCTTCCAGTAAATCTAAACGTGCTTATTATTAGTTCAACATGCCCTGATGAATTTTTAAAGGAGGGTGGATGTGTCAACAGTGGCGGATTTTCCCATTCTGATGTAGATGTTGTCATTCTATACCTCATGAATAATCAAACATTTATGTGGTTCCGTCTAATTAAATGTAGGACAAAGATACTTGGAACACATCACTTCTGCAGCATGCCTAAAAATCCTATGAAGAAGTCTAATAATTTATTCTCTTGCATGTATTTTCAGTTGTTTTCCTTTTCTGGTTCACTTGCTAAGGATCTAAAAACAAGGTATTTAAAGGTTTGGATTTCTGTTTACTTTTGTAATAAGCCATTCCAAATTAATCGTTTTTTTTTTAATCCTGATCTTTGGGATGATCCCTTTCAAATTTTCTCCATGGAAAACCAAGAAAATGTGGCTAGGAACTTGTGACTCTGCAGCTGCCATAGGAAAAAATAATCTAATTCCCTGGCCTCAACTAACCTTGAGAGAGATTTGATGTTACTTCGTGACTAAATACACTGATTACTATAACATGACTTATTTCACAGTGGGGGAGGATTCGATGTGTCTGTCTGGCTTCAACCCGGACCCATCCAAAATACCAGAATGAAGCTGGTACATATATATCTAAGGGGAATTTCTGTTTCAAAGGATGCACAATTTCTGGGAAAAGAATATTCCAAGTAAGCATCTGACCAGTTCAAACAAAGCATCCGACCAGCATGAGAAGTCAGAATTTATTTCAGAATCATAATTTTAACACCATTAGAATGACTTGAAAGTGCATGTTTTAGACAGACGAAACACCTTTGACACCAAGAAAGCTAAGTTCAAATTGGTAGTGGTATCAGCACAGTCAGAATCAGGTGAACTATCGATTATTTTAATCATTACCAGTAATTCACAGAAATCCTATAGTGAAGCATCAAAAACAGCTGAAATCTGTGGCCTTTATCTGCTTTAAAATTCGTTGTTCTTTGTAGGAAGTCCAGGTGGCCAGGATAAAAAAGATCATCTTGAAACATCACTATTTCAGAAAATGCAAAAATAAGTGTGAAATCCCATCTCCATCTTGTTCAATGGATTTCTTGTTATTATAGCTTATCCTTTTTTTAAGAATCTTGAGAAATTTGACATATGCAGAAAAAAAATCTTGTGTGGATTTTTTTTTAAAATCAAGGTAGGGACCATGCAACTTTTTGTAGCATTTCAGTGCCCATAGCCATATTTAACGTACCTGAGCTCACCTACTGTAGTAAGTGACTAGCATAACTGTAGTAAGTGTACAATGGTTATTCTTAAATTTTACTTAATTAGTAGAAATTTCAGTTTCTTTTAAGAGCCTATCACTATGCATATTTTTCATGCATATTTATGCACGAATAGTTCAAAAAAAGATGCTAGGAAGAGTAACTACTTTTTTCAAAGAATGAGCAAAGATATTTCATATTGTTTCTCCTAGAAAAATGTTATAGTCTTCCCTCCTACCCCTCAAGAAAAGAGAAAATATAATTTTGCTCTTTTTCTCCCTCAGAATACATATCTCCATGAATTTTCATTGGAGTACATGTATATGCATGTTGGGCAAGTCAGGGGGAGAATTTCTGCCTGGCCATATACTGCAAGAGATTTTCAAATTCAGGCTTTTGGGCATACCCTGGCTTTTTCATCTTTGTATTACTGAGCCAGAGTAGAAAAAAGCACTCACTAATGGCAGTGTAGCTAATGAATACCAAACCGCATAGCACTAATAGGAACCAGAACATTAAACTACCAAAAAATTAACACCTTTCAACTTGTGTCAGCAATTTCGTGGCATTAATATAACTCGAGTGAGGCTGTAAAATGGTCCTCCCATAATCATTAAATACTTTACGCTCTGGCCCGCTCTCCATCGGAGGTGGCCCTGGGGCTCTGCAATGCGGTGGAGGACGTGCTCCTGCAGGGATGAGCCAGAGGGGACGAAAGGCACCGGGGACAATTTCAGGGCAATTATCGTGCAGGAGGTGGCCCTTATGCATCTGTACAGGCTGTACGTTTTTGGGGAAACTAGTAACTTGGAGTCAAATGAAACGTGAAGAGGTTTTAACATGGAAAAGGTTTCACTGGTAACAAGAAAATGTCTTGTATTTCATCGTCATCCTCTCCCATCTCTCATACCTTTGCCCCAAAGAGATAATTTCTTTGAGAGAATCAGGTATCAAATGGCCTGGATGCCTGCCAAGAACCCCCCGTAATTTCAGAGACATCACCTAACCATGTGTAAAACAGATGTAGCAATTCACGCTCTAAAAGTTGTGGGTAAATGATGGGAATGCTCATTCGTTCTTTTCTTTTTTTTTTTTTTTTTTGGTTGGCTTCTTGTTCGTTTTATTCTTGACATACACAGAATTTCCTACAAGGAAATGTCTCATGTGGTAGCCTGCTAGTAAGAATTATTGGTACTATATGCAGAGCATTTTCTATTTTGCACATAATCTGTTCTAAAATTGCATTACAACCATGTCCGTGGAATTAAGTCCAAGTTTGCTGAAGAAGAATGAATGAAAAAAAACTTAAACAATCACAGTCATTTTTCCAGGTGTTCTTTTTCCAACAAAAAATTGCAGTCGACCTTTTATTTAGGTGAGTTGTAGCAATGGGATCACACCTTGCTTTTGTGATTTATGAATTCAGTATAGAATTTACAAAATTGGAAATGAAGATACGAAGAGGTTTCTAAAAACACTGTCAGTATGATGTAGTTATAACAAGCTGACATGTTTTAGGACAGAATGCTGTGTTTTCAAATTGCTCTGTTAAAGGAAAAACAAATTAAATTCACAGTGTTTCAGTGTACAGCCATTAATCATAAGCTAGTAAGGCATCATTACATGACACAATATTAATAATACCTTCAGTTGAGGTAAATTAATGCCTGAGTTGACATATGTCATATTTACTTATTTATTAGTCATATTTATTGACTTCCAGATTTATAGTCTCTTACAGACTAGAAGCATGCAAATTATTTATTGGGAACAAATTGCAAATACTTCTCTATTTATGAGCAATGCTTTCTTACCGGCACCACACTAGTCTCTATCCTGTAGGAATAACAAATTATTTGGCTGACAAGGAACAGCTTTCTCCTGGACATGGAAATGCATTCAGCTGCCAAATAAAATACAACTTTCATCCTCTTCTTTTTGATAAGTTGCTTAATAAGCTCATTCAAATACTTTTCTCCTTCTTTTAGTTAACACACAAGTTTTTGTTTTAGCATTCCAAAATCTTTAACATTACGAAGGCATTCCAGAATATCTAAATTAAGTTTATAGCTCCATACCAGGATGTGTGCTATTTCATGACATATTATAGGGATTATGATTTCCTTAAGATATGGGGAAGCTGAATTTTTCTCCAAACTCTGTTGCTGCAACTCAGCTGACTTCACCATTGTACTGAAAACAGAATTTACTCCAATAAAAATGCCATAAATAGAGATTGACAGTTTTGAAATGAACAGTCTCAAAAAAGGTTCCAGTATGAAAGTAAGAAAAGGTGAAAAAGATGTCTTTCCTTTGTACAGTTGTTCAGGGAATGTTGAAGCTAGTTCGAACATTCATTTGTCTTAGAAACAATTAACATACAATTGAATATAGCAACTATTGCACGCACCTCAACCTATTTTGGGAAATAAGTTATTTCCTAACTGCTGTTTCTGCTTTGTCACAATCATTTTACTTATACATTGTTACTGTGGAGTAAAATGCAAATATATCTATAAAAAACACTCAGCCTTTAGAATAAAAATTAACTTTGCAGCTGTAGATTTGTAACTTCTTGATAGCTCTCTAAACCACCTGTGGTCTGATCTGTTGTCCCCAAAGTCACTGAGTATTTTGCTTTAATATTGCTTGTATAGTATTCAGCCGTCTGGTCTTTCCCATTAAGTAGCTCATTTCAGCAGGTATTTAATATTGCTAACTCGGGCCCTTCATCGGGAAGCTGTGGGAACTGCTTTTACCAGGACACGCGACCGTACTGGAGAATGGTGGTTCAGCACAGGCTGCTAGGCACACAGTTATCAAATGCTTCTTGGTGCTTGGATGTTGGCTATCTGTAACAGGAATTTTTCTTATTTACCTTTCTAGGAGTTTGTCATGATTGTTGTCTTTGGTTTGGAATTTATTATTCGTATCTGGTCTGCTGGATGCTGTTGTCGATACCGAGGATGGCAAGGAAGGCTACGCTTTGCAAGGAAACCATTCTGTGTGATAGGTGAGTGTCCCAGCTGTAGTTTATTATAAAGTAAAAGTAAAATCTCCCACTCCGTGTCCATTTTGCTTCCGAATACATTTTAAAAAGGGGGAGGAGATTCAGTTCACAGCTACCCTGGTGTGAATCCAGAATAGTCCTTTGTCAACTGTCATCTGCCCAAGGCTTCTCTAGGTAAAAAAAAAAGGCCCTTAATACCAGTCAGTTCATTATCCTTATATTCTCCAAAGGGCATTTTTAGAAGCAGGTCATACACCTGACGTGTATTGGAAAAATATCCAGAGCTGATGTCTTTGGAAATCACCATCTCCTTGAGAATCATGGGGGCATTCAGTGGCCATGAGTATTTGACAACTTGTAAGTGTATTTACATAACACATATGTATGTGTATACCTTGCATGTCCTCCTTACTTAACCTTCTGTGGTCACAGATAAGATGTGTGCACACTTCATGAAATTTGAAAACCTACCTAGAGGTACATATTGTGCTGTCCTCTAACAACTTCACTTCTTGCTCTTGTCTCTGCATGAGAGTCCAGGTAGCAGCTCTGCCAGTGACTCTGGAACAGCAGATAACATATTGTTCCTACAGCTGTTTCAGGAGTCTCTTCCTCCTATTCCTTTCTTTAGACATTGCCTCTGAGAACGGATAAATAAGTCCACAGCCACTCAAATCCCTATTTTTAAAAATAATTAATAAGAAATCAATTTCCCAGTAATGTCAGAGATCGAGGAAGGTTAACCAAATTAATAATTATTTTTCTAATGATTTGGGGCAAATGCTTTGTAGGGGACATCTGTGGAACTTCAGGATCTCAGCTTTCTGCCTTTTGACTTAACCTACTTCCTCTCTCCAGCCTTTAATTTCATCTGCTTGTGTCTTAAGCTAAATTATGGAAGAGTTGGGGCAGGAGATCCATTTCCACAAGCATCTGTAGAGCAAGTAGCACAAGAGAGCCTCAGGCTCATAACAGCAATACCCAAAGGCCTCTGTGTGCACAGGGACTGGCAGTAACCTCGTGAAGGGGAACACAGCCCTGATCTGAGAAGCGTGCAATGCCTGGGCACGAAGCAGGCTGGTGTGCTGGGTGGTGCTAATATGTTTGTGCTTTTGGCCTCCTTCCCTGGTAAATCCTCTCCTTGTCTCTGAGGATTCCTGTTTTGGAGAAGGGGCCATAGCAGGAAGTACACGGGCAGGTGGCAAGGGGGCACGGGCTGTCTGCCCCACAGACAGCACCACCCCGCCAAAGCGATGTGGGCACTGCAGGAGAGGAGCAAGTGTCTGGATTGGCACCTATTTTCAGGAATAAAATATAATATAATATAAAATCTTCCCAGGCTTTACTAGGCAACGTGAAGGGAAAACTAGAAGTTCAGACATTCACTTTTCCTCGTGTCAGCAAACAGGGCTACCCTACTTAACCAAACTTGCGATTATTTCAAGATTTTGCAGTGCATGTGAAGCTTTCCAGTAGTCAGTTTGGGATTTTTTATTTCAATACATAATCATAAGGACTAGACTGTTAATTTAATAAAATTAACCTGTATTGAGCATTCATAACTTACTGGAAACATATTTAAGCATTTGAATTTCTTAGAAACATTTGAAACGCCAGACTGTTTTGCTGCCCTCCTGAAATGCTTTTGTGTGGAAACACTAACAGTTTGTTCAGTTCGGCTTTCATTTCTCCTCCATTTCCTGTCTACGTTCAGCTGGCAAGTTTTCTGACAGTGATTTACTTCAGTCTTAGGTGTTAATTCCCAGCAAAAAAAAAAATGAATGGAGGCTCTTTCTTGTTCAAAACTCTGCATATTATCGCACGGCGACTGACGTAGATTTTTCCCCTTTCCTTTCTAGCAGCCCATAGCTGCCCTCCTCTATTTGTGCAAGAGGTCAGGCAGATTTCCTGGCACAGGCCCCAGGGAGCGTTGAGGGTTTGCTTGACTCAGTTATGGTTTTTCCTCCTTGTTCTGCAGTCCGTCTGCTCTCCCGGTTGCTCCTGTGTTTACGTAGACCATCTCTAGCCTTAAAAGCATCTTCTCTCCACTGCCCGCCTTGCAACTCTGCTTTCAGTTGCAGGAGGAACTAACAGGGCTTTGCTTGTGGACTCCTTCCTGGGGAGTTTTGCTCTGCAGGACGCTATAAAGCCTTAGTGCATCTTGTGGAAACAAACCCACCAGCTCGAGTTTCTCAATATTAATGGCATTTCTCGCCATTACTCCATGTCTCTTTTGTTTTACCGATTGGGCTTTTTTTTTTTTGTCTATTTCTGGACTGTAGCATCTCTGAAAGAAGTTTCAGATGCTCAGTGTCTCTCCAGATTTGATCTTTTAGGGATCCCGCCTCTAGTAAGTTATCTTGCAACTTTTCCTACGTAGGCTCAGTATCTGCCTGGCACCAGATTTTGCAGTTCTCGGGGAGCGTGCCCTCATAGCAAAGCAGGCCAGCAGCTCCCTGGGCTCTGCTAACCAGCCAGTTGGCTGCAGGATCTCATTATCCCCTTCTCATCTGCAGCGAACCATGCCTGGGCTACTGCAGCCCATGTCAGGTCCCCCAGCACAGGCAGGACACCAACCAACTGGTGTGAGTTTGGGGGAGAGCCAGTAAGGTGGTCAGGGCTGGAGCACTTGCTGGGGAGGAGAGGCTGAGGGATCTCCGCTTGTCCAGATGGATGAAAAGGCAGCTTGTGGGGGGACACAGTGAACTCAGTGCTGAGGTCTCCTTAAAATCACGTGGCCGGTTTCAGTCTTCTATTTTGGTGTATTTTTAATTGTTTATTTGTTCATCTGTTCACTTGTTCATTCTACTTATTATTGCAGTGAAACAATAATATTTTAAAAGACTTATTCTGTTTACTATTAATTAAATTTGCCTATATATCTGCAGCAGATCTGTTCCCTGATTATTTTTGTGGTCAAACACAAGTCACACAGGGGAATGGCCTGAGAGCTAGAAATAACAAATTTGAGGATTACCTCACGGGTCACATTCAGAGAGCCTTTACTTTTTTCCATTAATAACCTAGCAGAAAAGCATTATTCAAGGCCAAAGCTTTGTGCTTACATTAGTGTACCTACAGTGTCACCACCCTGACAAATTAGTTCAACAAGCAACTCTGTGCTACTAGGTAAGGAAAGATATCTAACAGGACTATCTGTCAGTTTTGTATCCTTGTTTATGTCTGTGAAAACGGGAATAGTACTGCAGTATTAAACCTTGATTGGTATTTTGTTAGATGAGGATCCAGAGTTTCTTGCCTTCCCTCATTTTCTCTGTTAATGTAGAAGCCCATATGTAAGGCATACATGCCAACATAACCTCCCAGGGATACTGATGTACTTAAAGATATATTTACCTCTGTAAGATCCTAATTTTCCATAAATCCCAGGCATATCAACTGAGTGTTAGCACTGTAGAGCAATGTTGATCTGTTATAATGCAGTCATCAAGACTCCCTTTGCGGTCCCAGTAACCCAGGTGCTCATGGAGGAGCCTTGTCCTTCAGGAGGAGCCATGCTTGCTGAAGATCCCTAGGATAAAAGGGAACGTCTTTCTGCTGATCAGAAAGAAAGCATGGCACCCCTTCCTGCAATTCCACCCCTATCCAGGGATATAGAAATGATGAGTCCATTATCCTTTCTGTATTGGCAATGGTTCTACTACTGTCACATGTGACCTGAAGAAAATAAACTTCCTGACTGCTGTCATGTGCATTCAGTTTGGGAGGTTTCAGTATTATGAAACTGAGCCATGAAAAGTCCTGCAGCTTTAAAAGCCACAGGAGCATGTCTGACTCTGTACAGCACCTAGCATCAATGAAATCCTAGTATGTTACATGGGCTTCCACAGAGTGGCATGAGGTAAAAAATAGTTAGGAGTAATAAATAACAAACTGCGCATCAGAAATGCAAAACCAGTGTGGCGCAGCTGTGTCTTCCTTCATGAAGGCAGCAGCTTTGGAAATGGTGAAGAGCAGGATGGCAATTCACCCTCGGGGCAGGCAGAGGTGTTTGCTTGAACCAGAGGCCAGCCCATGCAGGAGGTCTGGTCTTCAGGTGAGCTGCAGAGGCCGGCTGGAGCGGTGAGCGTGTGCTCAGAGCATCACGGACTGAACAGTGCCCAGAGGTTGAACAGGGAGGAAGCCAGGGGACCCTCGAAGATCAGAGAGCAGCTGGAGGGGCAGGAGGGATGAATGAGAATTTGCAGAGCAGAGTAAAGCCACATTTATGGGGCAAAAAAAATAAAAGGACAAGGGAATCAGAGAAGGAACAGACTGCAAATTATTTGGAGGAAAAAAAAATAATGTCAGAAGGGAGAGAGATCATGAAGCAAAAGCAAAAGAGGTGGATAACAAAGTAATTATTTCAGCATGTTCCTTTCACTACCAGCTTACACATTCCAGACCACACTTTATCATAGTGCATATTTATTCCATTATAAACAACACCCAATAGAAATATACTGTGAAACTATCTCTACTTTTGGGAGGAAAATTGATATTTTAAAGGACTGAGCATTAGTTATAACAACAATAAGCTTAAGAATATGCTATTTAGATATCCAAGTTGATCCAGCCATTTTCCTTTCCTAGGTGAAAGTATTAGATAGACCTGTCCATGCTTATGTTTCTGTTTTCAGTGGAAAGTACAGGGTTATTGTTTTTAAGTATTCTGTGTGAAATATGGGAGTGAATATTCATTTATTTGTTTTATGGATAAGGTTTTCCCCTGTGGTCCTTCTGTGGATACTGAAAAGCATTTTAAGAATAGTTAAAGTTTAATATTACTGTAATTTGTCATAATTCTGGGTGGACATATGTTTAGGTGTTCGAGCTGTGAAAGGTACATTTTCTATTTTTTAGATTACCACACCCTTATGCCTCTCTTGACATTTTAGGGAAAAGGGAGTTAATTCAGTAAATTTGTTTTGGACAGTTTCCCTGCTCCTGTTACCAACTTTCCTCTTCGCTGTGGCCTTTTGTGACCCAGTTCCCTCGAAATA